GAAACAACTCATTTTAAACTCAAAGCTCTGCTCCCTTTTTCTGTACATGACAGGAACTGTTGCGTCTTCTCAGAGAAAGACAACCACAAATGTAGCAACTCAGCTTGGACAGGTTGTTAATAAGACTTTTTTTTTTCTTATCTTGCATTTATACCAGTAAATTGACATCTGTGAGTCATAATAAGCTCAATTTGGATCAACGGTTAGTGGTCTAAATGTTTTTGGTTTTTTTTGCACCTAACTACAATAATGTGCCACATTTTAAGCTAAAGCTCAGAGATTCTTCAGTTTGGTGAAGTTCAAGCCCTAGACATAATCAAAGAACTTATAGATGCTTTTTTTTTGTCCTGAAACGGAAGAATCCATCTTAAATGACCTTTTGAAATAAGTTTTTACATTTAATCTTGTAATACAACTATTTAGGAGGGTGATGAGAGAACTAAAGAAAATATATGTCATTTATAATCTTTGTGTGCTTAATGTTTTTACAGATGCATTTTTTAATGGCAGTTGTTTGCTAGACACTTAAAATTAGCATCTCTCCTCTGGCATCCTTTTCCTGACCTGGTCAGACATGATGTTATGACTCTAGAGAGTTTCTGTACTTGGCTATATTTCACTGTTTCTGCTGCATTTGGCTCTCATGCTCATCAGTTTTAAAGAATGTTAAAAAATAAAGCCTTACTTCCCCTATTGTTATTTTTTTCCCTGAGTATCTTCTAGAATATATATTCTATTTTAAACCTAATTCATCCTTGGGATATCCACTTGAAGCAGATAGAAAGTGAGATAAAATTATCCCTATTTTGCAAAGAAAGAAACTGAAGGACAAGTAATGGTCACATCCTGAATTAGGACCTGAGTGAATATGATAGAATGGGACAGCAGTTCCCATACAATAAGGGCAGCTAAGTGGTGCATTGGGTAGAGCGCTGGGCTTGAAGTCAGGAAGACTTACCTTCCCGAGTTCAAATCTGGCTTCAGACATTTACTTAGCTATGTGACCCTGGGCAAGTCACTTAACCCTGTTTGCCTCAGTTTCCTCAACTGTAAAATGAGCTAGAGAAGGAAATGGCAAACCACTCCAGTGTCTTTGCCAAGAAAACCCCAAATAGGATCAGAAAGAGTTGGACAAGACTGAACAATTCCATTCACTTTTCAAGCATAGAGACCTCTTTTTACCATTAACAGTTTTTACAGAGCTTCGCATGTTTGTGGCCGCATCAACACTGAAAATTTTATTGGCATTAAATATAGATTAAAATATTCCTTGGTGTGCTTATGCATATATATGTGTGTGTATATATATATATATATATATATATGTATATATATATATATATGTATATATATATATATATATTCCTTACCATAACCCCATGAGGCCCACAGGTTGGGAACCAATAATTTGGACATAATTGAAAGTTCTGTTCTGTTTCAAATTACAGGAAAAGAGTCTAGAAATAATAATAGCTAGCATTTATATTGTGCTTTGTTTGTAAAGAATTTTATATATTTTCTCATCTGATCCTCACAACTCTGTGAATTACATGCTATCATTATCCTAGTCTTACAGATGAAGAAATTGAGTCTGAAAGAGGTTAAATGGCTTGCCCAGGGTCACAGAGTTATCTGAGGCAGAATTCAGACTTAGGTCTTCCTTGCTCCAAATCAAGCATTCTATACACTAGGCCACCTAGCTGCCAGATTAAGCTATGGTGAATCAGACCTTTAGGTCCTTTGCATAACAACCTAATCTTCTTTGGTTGGGTAGACTCAACATTGGTGGACCCTAGCAGAGATGGGGACTGAACCAAGGTATCTGAAGCTAAGGAGGGTATTCCTTGCTAAGGTATGGCTTGGCCTTACCTTATATTCCATGATTTTCTGTGACACCTAGTTTATCATATTATATAGACAGTTAACCTAAATGTCATTGAAATCTTGAGAATTCAGAAAAGTTGAGTTAGATTTACAAAAAGAGACAGAAGTAATTTTTATTGTCCAGTCCAATCATAGCATCATATATCACAATAGTACAAATAAGTTTTATTAGTCAAATATGTTATAATAATATACTTTTGAGATAGGCATCTCTTGGTTAAATGACAAAACGAAAATATTTCTGTCTCAGTTAGTGACACATATAGCTTGCGAAAGGAGAGGACATTTATTTTTAATCTGAGTCTTCATTGAGTACCATCTTGAATAGAAGCTGCTTATCAAAATATGGGTTTTAATTCATACCTGTTCCCTCAAGTATTACCTCTTTGCTTGGATAGTCACAAATGTAAAACTCTTTGCTTCAGGACTGGGTGACAGAAAAGGTGGTCCCTTAGTCTTATGAGTTGCCTACTATTGAGAAATTAGTGCAAGTCTTACATAATGAATAGAGTGTTAAACTTGGAGTCAGAAAGACTGGGGTTCAAATCTGACAATTATTAGTTATATGATCAAATGTGTAGTCATTTAACCTTTCAGTCTCATCTTCTTCATATATAAAGGAGATAATAATACTTGTGATATCTATATCACAAGGCTGTTATGAAGCTTAAGTAAGATAATGCATATAAAGCACTTTGCAAAATTTAGAATTCTATAGAAATGTCAACTCTTATTAATACAGATCTTGCCCTCCAGAAGAGAGATGTTCAGAATTTAAGTAGGGTAGGGTTTTATGAGATCTTTTTACCAGGATTTTTTTTTGTTTGTTGTTATTTTTAACCTTATATTTCTCAAGAAATCTCTAGCCAGGGAAATTCTCTTAGGAATCTAAATGCTTACTGGGGAATTTAAAAAAAGAGATAAGCTTCAGAAATTTTATTTGACAATAAATAGGGAAATAAGCATTCATATATGGATGTAAGAATCCCATCATTTATTCTGATTACTGTTACCATTCCTACAAATGGGAGAACAACACAAAAATCCCTCCTAGCTAAGAATAGCGTTGTGTTCCTCAGCTTTTGTATTCATTTAGTAAGTCAATGCTGTTTCAGGGCTGTTTTCCATAAAGCACATTCCACCCTGTTCATATCCAATTCATTCATCAGCTGTTTTTCCCATATTTTCCCAGAATGAGAAAGTGTCTGTTCTTGTCATCTGGGGACCAGTATTGTTTTTTCATACCTTTTGGAAACACAGATGAATTGCCATGGACTTTGTCCTTCAAAAACCAGGATTTCCACTTGCAAATGTCTCTCTCTGGTCATTGGAGGGGGTGTAATATAGTGGTGAGAATAGGGGTCAGCCAGACATTTGTATTCTATTCCTGAATCCACCACTGATTTGCTGTTGGAAATCTGCAAATTACTCATGCTTTGAGGAGACCAGACTGGTTTCAGATCAAGGTAAAAGAGGTATGTTTCTTATAAGAGACAGAGGAAAGGTTACAGTTGTTAGATGGTTGAAGTTCACATAATATGTATGGAAATCAGGAAATGGTTTTAAAAATAGTTCTCTCTGAAGTTGTTCAGGTCAACCTAAAAACAAATTTTAGTTAAACAAAGATTAATCTTTCTATCGATATATTTGTATAAGGCCTAACAACCCATTGCTCAGGTGAAATGAATGCTTTGGGATGTTATGCTTGGAGTTAGCTGAGAGCTCAGTTCACATACCTGCTCTGACAGTTATGTGACCTTGGGAAAGTAATTTATCGTTTCTGAGTCTCACTTCTCTCCTCTGTAAAATGGCGATATTAATATTTAAAGCACTAGACATGTAATTTATTAATATAAACCATGTAGAATTATGGTAACCTTAAAACAGTGTTCAATCATGAATTAAATGGGATATTATCTTATCAAGAGTCTGCAGTTTCCTAATTGAAAGGTGATGCATATTGTGATTGCTGAAAGTCAGTGAGTGATTTGGTCCGGAAATGCAAAAATCTCGGAACTGTGGCGTCCTAACATAGCATGCCTACTTTAGGGATGCGGAACGACCTAACATAAAGGAGATGGACTTGTGAAGAAAAAGTTGAAATTGAGCGAAATGATATAATAATTAGAAACCAGAATAATTTTAGAAAAAATAAACCATAACCGTCCACAGGACAGTTGGAGGTAACTTCTTTTAACGGAGAAAAAGAGCTGGATTTCCAGTTTGGACCCTATTTATTCTATACATGACTTGGGGGGGGTACTTCTTGTGTTTATCTGACACTAGAACAAAAAATCACTGAACCACTTCTGGGTTTGCCTTTACTAGAAAAGTGAAATCAAGAGCTTTGGGGGGTAAAGGGCGCATTGCATATGCTAAAGCAAGCCACCTGTGAACTTTCCCAAAGTATCCTTCCTAGGCTTCAAAAGAATGAACTCACCTTCCGAATCATAACCCTAAACCCTGAGTCACCAGAAGGCTGTAATTCATATTTGTAAAGTGCTCTGAGGACATTGGCTCCAGGCTCTGTTGCCTGAATGCACTGTCCTTCAACCACATGCCTCACGTCCTGTGTCTCAGTCTTTATGAATGACTGATTGATCAACACACATTGTTAAAGTATGTGTAGCGTTTGGGGGCAATCCCTGGCGTGCGTCTACTACTGGTGACAAAGCCCTAAAGAATGCATGCAGGGAATGAAATGTACTTTCCTGAAATGAGGTGAAATCTCCTCCCCGCCCAGAGGTTCTCCACGAACAGCTCATCCCCGCCTTTTCATTAGGAATTGTATTGATCCAGGGCTTTCTCGCTCCTGAAGGGAGCTTCCCACTCAAGTGCAAGTGCTTTAGTGTCTCAAAGAAGCTGGGAACCGGGAACCGGGAACCGGACCCGCGGCGGGCTGGCGGGCAGCAGAGCGCGCGGACCAGCCTGGCCCGGCCCAGCCCAACCCAGCCCAGCCCAGCCCAGCCCAACCAGAGTGTCCCCGGGCTGGCTCTCTTGATCCGCAACCTTTCCTTTCACTTTTGGCCGCCTTGGGGGGATTGGTTGGCCGGCCATGAGGGCCCAGCCCCCTGCTCTGCTCCGCCCCTCGGCTCCTCCCTCCTCCCTCCCTCGCAGCCTGGGAGAGCTTTCCTGGCTGGCCCTGAGCTTCGGGACGGATTGAACCGCTGCTACAACCAGAGCGCTGCCCGGAGGAGGAACGCCCTAAAGAGGAGGGGAGGGAAGAGAGAGAAAGAGAGAGAGGGAGAGACGGAGAGGAGAGGAGAGGCGAGGCGAGCCAGCTAGCCAGCCAGCCGGGCCGCCGGAGGCGGAGAGGGGAGGAAGAGAGGGAACTCGAGAGAGGGATTGGGAGCGAAAGCAAGCCAGGGACAGAGAGAGGGTCGCGCTCACTTCTCCGCCAAGTGCCAACTTTCCCTGGAGAGAGTGTGCAGGGGCGCGGACCTTCCTCTGGGGAGAAAGCCAGCCCAACTTGAGATTGGAGAGAAACGGGTTCTATCCCTTTCCCTCCCCCTTGATTCTGACCCCCTCCCCCCAATAAAGAGGGGGGGAAATCATCCTCTTTACAACCTGATCTGTCCCCATTCCCTGGCACCATGAAGGCGGCCGTCGATCTCAAGCCGACTCTTACCATCATCAAGACAGAGAAAGTGGACCTGGAGCTTCTCCCTTCCCCCGGTGAGTGGTGACTGGCCAGGCCCCCATATGCTCCTGGCCTCAACCGGTGAAGTGGGGAAGCCTCTTTGTATGTTTGTCCATTCTTTTTTATCTTTTACCACACCAATCCTACCCCCTTCCAACCCCCCTGTCCCTCTACCTCCCATGTGTTTCTGCAGAAGCTTGGGATGCTGATCTAATGGACAGGGAGGAGAAGAAAGATGGTTGGTGGGCTTGGGACCCGGTACTTCTCCCTAGGGACAGTTATTTTCACAGCTGTGTGAGTGTGTGTGTGTGTGTGTGTGTGTGTGTGTGTGTGTGTGTGTGTGTGTGGAGGGGGCATCTTATATGATTCCCTCCCTGCCCCCCTCATTCCCTATTTAGTGCTGCGGAAGTATGTTCCTGTTCCTTAAACTTTTGTGAGAAATGGGATCTGTAGTAGGGGGTCAGCCCTTCACTGACATTGCCTGTTGGGGGATACCGGGGATGGTGTAGACGCTAACTTTGAAGGCCCTAGAGAATAGGGCAGAAAGACAATCTGGCCTACTTGAAAGAAAAATTCAGATTTCCCCCTGCCTTAGTGATGGCCTGTGTCACATCTCTTTTCTATTTAGCTACTTTCCCTCCCTTTCTTTCTTTTTCCTTTTGGAATGAAAGTGAGGAGATAGGAGGAACTTTTGAAAGTATTCTGACCTTTCACTTGAGGTCACACATTTTTACTAATTTTCCTAGTCCATCACCTAATTTTGTGTCCCTAGAAAGCCTTCCTGGCACCAAAATGTTACCGCTATTGGGACTAGTAATGCATTGGAGAAAGAGAAGGGGAAAAATGAAAGAGACTGATTTTGGGTCTTTGACTTGATGTTGTCCAACTTTTTGCTTTGAAAACTATTTGAAATGGAGTGGGGGAGGAGGGGAATTTCATTTTCTTTTGGACGTGTAAGTTTTGGCACTGATGGGTTTTAACTAACTACATCCCATTACTGGACTTCTGGAAAACAGAGTTTGAGAGAGAAAAATGCTTGCTTTGAAGAACCAGAGAGTTTGACTATCACTTGAGGGTTAGTGGTTTCAGAGTGGGAAGAGAAAAGAAATGGAGAGATGGTGCTTTTTGGAAAAAAAAAAGATTACAATAACATGCTATTGATGTTTTGGGTTGTCAATAATAAACTGAGCTACTTACTTGCCTATGATAACATTTCTTTCTTTTGTCATAAGGAAAGTGTTGCCATTTCTCTAGATTTAATCTTGCAATCCCAAACCAAGTTGATTTAACTGTGATGTTTTTGTTAGGTAGAGATTCGCCCATAAAGAAAAATAAAATGACCAGTATTCCATGCCAGGAGGCATCCTGACTGCAGCAGTACTGAGATTAAAACAGGGAAGGCACACTGATGCAGGCACAACTGGAAAGTGAAGTCTCTTTGATAGCTGCATTTTTTTTTTGACTTGGTTATCAAGTTTTGAGGGAGCTAGAATAGGTTCTACTCATGCTAACTGATATAAATGACAGAGAGCACAAGGTAAAATGATGGATGACAGCTTGAATACAAATCCTCCTGGTCATTTTGTGTATATGTGTGTGTGTGTGTGTGAGTGTGTATGTGTGTGTGTGTGAGAGAGAGAGAGAGAGAGAGAGAGAAGGAGAGAGAGAGAGAGAGAGAGAGAGAGAGAGACAGACAGTCAGACAGAGGTAAGAGACAGAGATAGATGGAATCAGGGAGAGAGACAGAGGGGGAAGGGAGGAGAGAGAGAGAGAGAGAGAGAGAGAGAGAGAGAGAGAGAGAGAGAGAGAGAGAGAGAGAGAGAGAGAGAGAGAGAAGACAGAGAAACAGAGGTGGAGTGGAAGGAATAGACTGAGATAGAGACAGAACAAGAGTTGAAACAAAATATTGATAAATAAGAGAAATATACCTGCAATGTATTATATAAGTGTCAAGAATGGAAATGGTATAGCAAATGCCACACTTAGGGGAAAGACCTGAAGAAATAATTTTAGTATCTTAATTACAAGTATTAAACATACTTAGATTTGTGGTACAATAGATGAAATTGAGGGGTAGGGAGCTTTTACTCCATCTACTACCATTAAAAGTAAATTTTGCACTAATAATAATAATGATAATAACCTCTTTATCCTCTGTCTCCCCACCCATAAGACGGGAGTAGTCAATGCTACTTGATTTGTGGGGATTAAATAAAAGACATCTTTGAAGAACCACAAGTCAAATTCCATCACATTTTATGTAATTACAATGACAATTTCTCTTAAGAAGATTTCCAAGCTACAGCCTCATTTATTTTAAACAATATTTAATGCAGCAAAATTCTATCCCCCCAAAAACTGATTTGGACAACCCTTTAGAATTTAGCATAATGTGATTTGGTTTCTACCAATCTCTTGCATAAAGGTACAACAAATATTGTACAAAATATAACAATAATTTATATGTAAACAGTGCATTCCGTTTTGGAACCTTAGAGTGGCTTCTTTAATCAACATTGCCCTCATACCACAGAGAAGTGGAGGCATAGAAAAGGTAAGTCACTTACCCAAGGTCACTCAATAAACCAGTAAATGTAGAAGAGCACCAGCTTCCTGAGTTCCTGATGCTTAGCTCTAACCGATCCTGGTGCTTGCTCACTACAATTCCTAACATTAGATCCACCGCTGAGAGTCTCTCAGTTAAAGAAATTTTATTCGGATTTGGCCTTCCAAGTACAAATACTGGAAGAAATGCTGGTTGTGAATGCCTGTCTATTTTGTGGGGTGTGTGTATGTGTGTGTGTGTGTGTGTGTGTGTGTGTGTGTGTGTGTGTGTGTTGGCAGTGGGGGGTTGGGGGGTGGGGAAGAAGCATTTGCATGAGCAAGGATTTGCTTTGCCCATCAGACCATATAGGACTTTGGTTTAAAGTTTAACTTCTCTTCTCACGGTAGTGGCAGGGCTAGACAGGCTTCTTTGTATCCACAGCGGTGGTTTAAATATTTATCAGGAGAGCTTCTTTGTGGCATTGCTTCTCTTAGGTTTGGAGGTATACTTAGTTTTGTAGCTTTATCTCGTTAAATTTATTCAATAAGAACTGTCCTAGAATACAGTAACATATGGAATGGTGTGGTGAAATGGGTAGAGTGCTGGCACTGGTCAGAAGGTCTGAGCTCTGTTTCTGCTGGAACTTTGCCCAATGTCATTAACTGACATGTTCTTAATTCACTCTTGTGGTGCCTCAACTTCTCCATTCCTATTGCATCCTCACAAGATTTTAGAGAATTTCAAGTATAGTTACTAATACTGGTAGAACTGGATTTACTTGGCAAGTATAAAGAAGACCTTTTCTTTTTTCCCTTCAGATTGCAACACTCCAATTGTGACTTTCTTGAGGACTTCATGTAGTGAAAAGGAGATACTTCCTTTAAGTTTACATCTATGGTAGTAAAGATAATAATCATAAATAAATAAGTTTCTATGATATTTCATCCTACTTTTCCTTCCCCTTCATTTCTATCATCTCTCGCCTCCCCACCCCCAGTTAAGATGACTATAGGAACTTAAAGAAGAGCTCAGGTTTTAATTTTAGACTTTTGAGCTATTTTACTCATCTTAAAATTAAAAAAAAAGAGAGATGGCCTCAGCTGAAAGTCTCTCTCTCTCTCTTTCTCTCTCTCCTCTCCTCTGTGCTGCTCCCTAAGCCTACTTAGTTCTTACCTTTCTCTGGAGATGGACAACAAAGAGAAGCAGTCCCAGTAAGATGTCTTGCTTTCTGTGGTACTGAATCCTATCCATAGGAATTAGATGGTGATGCCTCTCCTGTTTCATCCAAGGCCATTGGTAGCAGACGCACAGTGAAACCATGCTAAGTAGTACCCTGGGACTGAGTGCCAGCTCTTAATAGTTTTATGACCCTGGACAAGCCACTTAATCTGTTTGAATCTTAGTCTGCTAAATGCTAACACCTACTTCACAATATGGTTATGAGAAAAGTGCTTTACAAACCCTAAAGCTCTTTATAAATGAGAGTTGTCATTAATAACATCCTGTGTGGAAAGCTCTATGCTAGTCGCTAGGAGAGGTACAAAGTTTAGATAAGGCAAAGTCTTATCATGGAGCTTGCTTTCCACTAACAGAAGATAGAAACTATATAGGTAACTATAAAGCACAATTTTATGTGACAAGTTCCTCGGAATTATGAAGTGCTGTGTGAGGTCTGAAGGGCTTCCTGGTTATTCACAGGTATTCTTCAGGGAAGGCTTGGTGAAGAAGGTGACATTTGATTTGGGCTTTTAAGGATGGGTAGGAATTCAACAGAGTGGTTCATACTTCTATTTCTTCAAGTATGAAAAGCTTGGGGACTGGTGATTCTTTGTGTAGGGCTTCATTCACTGTCTCTTAATCTCTGTTCTCCTAAGATCTCTTCTATTTCAAAAGTGTCAAAGTGAATAGAGTGCTGAACCTGGAGTCAGGAAGACTTGGGTTTAAACCTGACCTCTGACACTTACTAGCTTTGTGTCCTGAGCAAGTCACTTAACCTGTCTGTGCCTCAGTTTCCTCAAAAATGTAAAATGAAGATAAAAATGGTATCTACCTCCCAGGGTTGTTGTGAGGATAAAATGAGATAATATTTGTTAAGTGCTTTGCAAACCTTAAATCATTATATAAATGCTATTATTATTATCATTATCATTTCATTGGTAGTTCCATTGGGGCTGCCTTCTATTCATTCCCCATTTGAAAGAGAAGGAAGAATAGACACATCATGGTGACCTTTTATTATCCTAGTCTTGGCGACTTGGTTCTCTGCCTTATGGAGCTTTACTTTTTTAACTCACCTGAGCAAATTCTGTTAACCAGAGAGAGCCTCAGCTATACCTCAAAATGCTCTGATCGCTATGGTTAAAAGGTTGCCTGAGCTAGATCCATCATTCCTAGTAGAAGTGATTGCCCAGGCAAGGCAAAGACTAGTTAAACTAGAGTATTTGAGTTTCTCAAGGTTGAGAAATGCACCATGTCCAGTTATTATGAGGC